GACAGTGCAAAAGAGAGAATTGATAGTTTTACTATTCTAGCTACTATTTTGGTAATCAATTGTATCCCACTTATCAATTGGTTTGGGGAAAGTTACACCATCAACGGTAATCGTTGGTTTGGTCCATCCATACATGACAGATTGCCAAACTTTTTCAGCAATAGATTTCAAAAATGATCTCATCCGAGCTTTCCAAAAAGAATAATTGAATCCATCAAGTAAGGGTGGTCGAACCATAGAATTTCCCTCACGAATTGAATCCATTATCACAAATCAAACGGGAAAAAAAAACAAACGTTTTTAAAAAAAAAAAAAACGTTTTAGTTAAACCTGAGCAAAATAAATTACATCATCTAAATAAATATTATGTTCAATTGCCAAAAAAAAAAAAACTACACAAATAAAACTAAAACTACCAGCACATAATTGAATTCTTAAATGTGCTTTTGGTAATTAATTTACTCGATTGGATTCGATGATTTGAAAAGAAAATAAATTCATTTCTCTTGGTTCATATAACTTGTTTGGATTAATAATCACTTGGTTGGATTAGTAAATAGAGAGAAATGAAATGAAATGAAATGTGGAGAAACTAATTTATCTTATAACTCTCATTTTGAATCTTTCCAAACCAAATTGAAGAAAACAAACCAATAAATTGCTATTTTTTAATAGTACCAAAATTAAGAAAATTGACTTATTTTGGTAATATAAATATATGAAATATTTTCTTTACATGGTTTAACCAAACAAAATATGAGAAACAAAATCCCTCTCCCCTTCCTATTTTTTCTACTAATATAGTTACCTCTCTGTACCTAGTTAGGTACGCTTTGAGCGGATCAATATAATCTTCAAACCCTAATGTAGCCATCGCCCAAAGCAAATCATCTCCATTGATCGTCTTCCGCTTCTCTTTCTGACACTTATCACTCGCCCTACACACAAACAAACATCAAATCACATCCACAAGACGCATCTTTAACCATAAATTACGAATCAATTCACATAATAAAACTATGAATTTGTTAACAATTCAGTGTCGCGTACTCGCTGGTGATGAAGCTGATGAACTCGGAGACACATTCCTGAACAGTATCCTTGGCATCCTTGGCGATCTTACCGTTGGCCGGTAAAGCCTTCTTCATGATCCGACTTATGTTGGCGATCGGGAGATACCGGTCCTGCTCTCGAACGTTGGAGCGAGGGCTCTGATCGCCGCCGCTCTCGTGGCTCCCGCCGGCGGGGCTGGCCGGAGCATCCGCCATTGCTGCCGGAACCCTAGGTCCACACACAAACCACAATACAACATCAGTTTCTGCAAAACCTAACCCTAGCTCTGAAAGTAGAGAGAGAAACAGATAATTGTAGAGAGAGAGGGGTGGGTTACCTGTAGAGGGGGAGATAGAGTGAGATTTATGTATTTGGCGCGCGTAAAAGAGAGGATTGATTGATGGAATTGTAATTTGGACGAGTAGAGAGAGAGAGAGAGATCGGACGATCAAGAAGTGGGGAGAGAGAGAGGACGAGTCTGATGAGAGAGCTTTGAAGTTATATTCGGGGGGTTTGGTGTTATCTGAACCGTTCGTTGGTGCTGTTATTGTTGGTGGTGGTGGTGTAGTTGGGGAGAAGAATGGGGTGTGTTTTAGGGGTTGCTATGGGGTGTGTTTTAGGGGTTGCTATGATGAGTAATTAACAGTCTGATACACGATTCTTTGGGGCTTCACCGTTATACACGTGTGAATCGAGTCCGGTCTTATAGGGGAAATGGGTTTTGATTATCTATGGTAAACTCCAGACTCGAATGAATGGTTTTTTTTTTTTTTTTTTTTTTTTGGGGTATATAATACGGATCTCAAAAAAAATCATACTACATATCTCAATTATGATTTTTATTTTGAGAGAGGTTTTTTTCTCGTCTTCATTTGGCCTAGAGAGAATTGTTCGGATTCGCAAAAATTATTATGGGTTTCAGTTGATGATTTAAATTATTGGTTTTATCAAGTTTTGTGTTTATATTATTTATAAAAAAAAATTAAATCGATTCAATATTCATAATTATTTTATTTTATTATATTTGTATCTAAAAAATGAATGTCTTAAAACACATTAATCGTTAATTTTTTTGTAAACAAATTCTATAAAATAAAGGGGTTACGAATATCGAATCGACTTAATTTTTTAATAAATGATATACACAGAGCCTAATAAAATGAAATGTTCGGATCATCAAAACTGGACTTATAATAAACTCCACAAACCCGAACAGGCCTCTCAAATCCAAATTTGGACTAGAGACAAACTAGTTCCTTTATTTTTATATTTTTTTTGTTATGATTCATCATGGTGTCGATTATGACTTAATTATAATTTTTTATGGTTGTTATTTTGGTTATCTTTGAAGAATATGTCTTTATTATGTCTTAAATAGTATTTAGTTATGAGTCTGGCTTCGTTTGAGAAGTGGGTTGGTTTTTTGGCTTTTTAACTTTTTTGTTATTTTAGCTTGTGGCTAAAAGCCTCATTTGGGTTGGGTATTTTGATTATTTTGACTTTTGTGAGAGAAAAAATGAAATGATTATGGTTTAGATGTAACATTTTATTTTATTGAATTTTTAACCTATTTTGTCTTTTTATAACTATTTTAGCCTAGTAATTCCATGTCAAACAAGGGCATAATGCTGGTTAGGACTTATTGTAATTATTATTTTAGTTATGACTGAAAAAGGTCTCTGGTTATGCTTTCTTGGTGTTTAATTATGATTTATTGTGATTTTTTTAAAGAAAATAATATACAAGCCTATTTTTTTAATCCATTTTATAGACTCAATGATGTACAAATGGTATGATTGGTTGGTGGTGATTAGAAAAGATATGAGAGAATGTCTAATTTTTTGTGTTACCTTTAATATCCTAATTGATTGTCACATTGCTAGACTTGAAAATTATGTCTAATTTTTTTGTTTTGAATAGCAATACTCTTTTTTTTAATAATGACTAAGAATTATTATGACACTTTGTAATATGAATACTACAAATTGCCATAACTTACCTGGACACCCCTTTTAGGGATGTGTATGGTTGAAGGACCTTTTTTGTATAATGTAAAATTAAGATATGTTTGATGGAAAGAAAATGAAAAGAAAAAAAAATTTATTGAACTTTATTTTTCAAGGAAAATAGTAGAAAAATTAGATGAAGTGGAGTAATGGCAAAAATATGGAGTATATTGTGAAAATCTATCCCTGAGTGACCGCTCGAGCAGTGGAGAGAGGGTAACTAGTATCTTGTTTTGCAAGCAAAATGTTGGGGATGTGAATTCACCACTCGAGCGGTCTACACGATATCAATAAGTTAAAGGTTTCCTTTTGGATCTTTTCTTTCACTTTTTCTTTTCCTCCTTCTTTCTCCTTTTCCAAGCTCCGAAAACCCTAACTTTCTCTCTCTAAAAATCTCTCTTCTCACTAAGATTCAAGCCTAGATCCCTTGTGAAAAGTGAAACCCACGTAGAGATCATCACCTTCACCGATTGGATTTCATTTTCGTGCAGATTCCTCGTTGGGTCTTGCCTTTTTTTCTCACTTTTAAGGTAGGGTTACATTTAACCTAATATATCTTTGATTTGAGATGATTATGTGGTGTTTTCTTAACTATGGTGCTACATGAGATGATTTTGTACGTAGAGTGAGTTTTTATGCTTAAAAGGGGCCTTCTACTTACATTTTGAAAGGTTATAAATAATTCCTTGTTGATTGTGGAGATTGATATTAAGTATTTGTTTCCTAAAGTATATAGAGGGAAAAGCCCCAAATCTTTGTAAACCTTAGTTTTTAAAATTGATTTAAGAATGATGTTTTGTTAAATTGGTCCTTAAATCTTGTAATTTGGTGGATGATTGATACTAATATGTTGAGACATGAAATTTTGGACTGTTTTAGAAATATGTATTGAATTGGAGACATGTTGGAGTTTGTAGAATGGGAAATTTTCAAAATCCTCTTATTTATAGTTGTTGTCCTCTCTCTTACATATGAATTGAATAAACTTCAATTAAATTGGGAATTTAAAATTTATGCATCATGTGCATTACGGTTTTTGTCTCATGATCCTATGATCTCATGGAATTTAGAAATGACAAAAAGGGGTAAATAGTGTATAAGTCCAAGTAGTCGAGTCGAATTTTTGGAAACATATTGTATATGGTATTGGTACCCGTACAAGGAGTCTAGGTGCCCAATTGCCTTATCTTAAGTTTATCATCGGACTAATGTGGGAAAATATTTTTGAGTGTCCACTGGTGTTGCCATATTAATAGTCGGTAAAAGTGGAAAAACGATTGTATTTTGGGTGTCCATCGGCCTGCCGTATTAATAGCCGGCAAATATAGGAACATTTTCTGATACGAATCTATATATATATATGTATGTATGTATTATTGGGACTCCTACAAGGGATTTCGTGGTGTATTTAGAAACGTTTAATTTGAACAACAGTGCATTTATTTTCTCTTCATTCACACACGTTGATAGGAATTTATTGTTAAGGCAAAGGCCATATAAATTTCAAACAATTAGATATTTTGTTAAATGTATCTCTACTAAGCATATAGCTCATCCCTATCTAACATTTCAGGACTTGGTGAGGTGCCTCCACCCCAATGATCAAAAAGTGGATTTTGTGTATGGAGCACAAAGGCTCGTAAATGTGGATTTTGTGAAAGCTCTAAGCTTACTTGTTTTGGTATCGAGAGTGTATATTTTGGTGTACCAAGGCCCTTGCCTTGTTGTTTGTAAGCCATTAAGGCATTTTTTGTTCTTTTAACTCTCGAGTAAGTTTACTTATGGCGAACCTGGGATTGTAATTTTTTACTATAGTTCAATGGGAAAGAGAGCACATTATGTTAAAACCACCTTTTGATTCCAAAGGTGATCATTGGAAACATTTTGTCATATTAAAAATTGTTAAGATTCTTCATGAGTTGATATTTATTATGATTTTAAATTTTCGGGGTGTTACATATACAAATTGTGATAGAGGTGATGACTTAAAATTTAATAACAAAATTAGGGTGAAATTTACAATCTTCCCTTTAACTTGTGCCTTTTTTTCTTCAATTTCCTTTTTTCCTCCTTCCTAACCCACATTCTCCAACCATTGGCCACCCTTCTTTGTTGTCGTTATGTGACACCCGAGACTTCATGCATATGTATATCATGACATTTATGCATGTTAATCTCATGTTAAGTTTATTTGCTTGAACTAGAACTTGATGGAAGTATAGGAGAATGAGAAGTTAGCTTAGAGACCTAAACTTAGAAATATGATTGTTACATGCTTGAAGTCATGAGATGATTTAGATTGGCATTTGAGAATCATAGAATATCCCTATGTCTTAATTGAGGACTTGAAGGCTTTAGTCTAATGAACTTGTATATTCCATGCTATTTGCCAAATTGCTAATTGGGATTAATTAGGATAAGTATATTTAGAATAAGATTGGATTATTTAGTTTTAAACTTGGTCAACTGGGCTAAACACAAGAAAACTAACCAATTAAGGGAATCTATCACTTTTGCCCTATCTACACCATATGAAACCTTGTCTCTATCCAAATAAATAAGATACCAGCTAGAGAATTCAGGAACAACCAAGAGAGGGGGAAAAAAGAGAAAGGAGAATAAAAGAGCGAGAAAAGAGAAAAGAGAGAAAAAAAATGGAAAGAAATTCAAAAGAGCTAAAGATTCAATCTTGGAAATTCCAAGAAAATAACTACAAGGTAAGAAACTGAACCCTCTTCCATATTCTCATATCAAAACATAACCAGAATAAGTTTTGGAAGATTGAAATAGGAATATTTGGAAAGTAGGAAAGAGTTTAAGGAAATCAACGGAAAACCATGTTTTGAACTAGTTTCATGTAAGATTTGAGTAAGACAAGTATTATTCTATGAACGTACACCTTGTATTCATGATTTAGAAGCTTTAGAACTTAGTTTTGAAGGACTGAAGTTGTTGAATAAAAGAAAAGAATTTAAAAGATTGAAAAACTTGAACTAAATTATCTGTTGCATGTTAAATCCTTAAATTCCTGTATAATACTAAGTTTTTATTATTCTTTGATCATATATATGATTATTAAAATGTTATAGATCAAGATTTGGGATTTGAAGGCTTGAAAATTGGGTTTGGAAATCCTAGAATAGCTTAGAACATAATAGGTTGTAAACTGCAGAACTCTGCTCTGCTGCTCACCGCTCGAGCGGACTGCCTTGAAACCTGGCTAAGTCAATTAATCGCTCGAGCGGTTGAAAGGTGGCTCGAGCGCAATTTTACAAACTTAAAATTCTAGGAAGGTTCATTCATCGCTCGAGCGGTGAATGTGTGACAATCCCGTCACGTATTATGCTTTTAATTCTTTAATTATGCATGTGCTTATATGTGTTAGGTGTGAATTTGAATGTTAATTATGTCATTAATGTAGTTTTTGACTTCATATATGTTGATTGTAGGGATATATGCTATGAATTTTGTATTAATCTAGAAATTGAACGTCTTAATAGCGACAAAAACCGAAATTGGTTAGTTTATTGAGATTGGCATAATTTTTACAACCTAATGAAAAGTTTGATTAAGATTGGTATGGAAACCCCGTATTTACATATCTGCCACTGTGGAGGAGAATCATTCAATCAGAAGCTAAGGCAGTCCCTAGCTTGCACGCCATTTACAGCTTTC